AGAGAGAGAGAGAGAGAGAGAGAGAGAGAGAGAGAGAGAGAGAGAGAGAAGAGAGGGGGGGGGGGGGGGGGGGGTGCGTAATTCATTAATAATCAAGAATACAATTGAGTTCACTCTTCCTTCCCTCTTCACCTCCGGACCAACTTGCCACCTCACCAATGCAAGTCTCTCACTGAAAATCACTGATAAGGTCCCTCTGCAGGTACCAGCTATGGCGCCCAACCACCAGCCTCAATCCTGGCTATGGAGGTTGGCGCCAGCTTTCTTCAATCTCCTGATGTGATCAGCAGCAGCTCCAGTATCACCAGCGTCCAGGTAAGTCAAGGTAAGCTTCTCACGCTCACAATCTCTCTTCGCTCACAGTCCTGATCACCCTCTTCCCCACTCTTGCTAGCTACGGTGGTTCTCTCCTTGCTCCCAGCCTCCTGTCGCACTCACTGTAGCACGTGACTGTAGAGCATCGATGTAGCGCGTCACTATAGTGCAACACCGTAGCACGACACTGTGGCAGCCTCTCATTTGTAGCGTTGACCGGTCTTGACTTGCCTCAGCTTGCCTCCTCTGATGGCCCAGATTTCTTGATCTGAACGGCCCAGATTTGCCGTCGGCCTCAATGTGCCTGGACCCAGTAGGCCCTAGAATCTTATGAAATAAATGCAGGCAGCCTGCGATTGTGCATCTCATATATAGCCGTGGTTGACTGCTGAGAGTCTTTGAGTCTTGGTCTGCTTTTCCTGGGTTGGGCCTGACTCTTGGATTTTCCAAGATGCAAATGTCTCAGATGGGGGCACAGGTTGCCCCATTTGACCCTGGACCCTACACCCCTTGACCCCAGGACTTTTCTCAGACCTCTCTAGAGCTAGAGATGCGCCTTATGACCTCTGAATCTTTCTTTCTTTTTGACCGTAATCATCCAAAAGAGGCCTGTTAGTGAGGGTGATAAGAGCATCGCCCACTAATAGAACCTCGGTAGAAGATGGCTCCAATCTATTTGTGGGGAGCTCCACCAGCTGGAAACCAGGTCCAGCGTCCCGCTTACAACACAGGATCCAAAGATATACCATACACTAGTCGTAATCATAGATGGTGAGCAGCATTGCTTGCCCTCATACGAGGGGATTAACTGCCCACCCCCATACCACATCCCATCCAATCAAATCAGGTCAAATCACCGCAAATCCAATCATGTCCAGCCAATTCAAATCAAATCAATCCATGCAATTCTAATCTAACTTTTATCTAAGGCCAATCAATCAACCGAAGTGTATCAGAAGAAAAAATTCAACCCGCTGTGACCTCTCCCCCCGACACCCCCCTTTCCAGTTCGGAAGTGTGAACGGACTATAGGCGAAAGAGGAGCAAACTGTCCTGTCAGCGGAGCATCAACAGTAGCAGCAGTGCGTATCCCTTCTCTCTCCTCCTCGCTGGAAGAATATCTCGCCCCTAGATGAAACCCTATGTTTGAAGTGCAATCCTTCCTTCTCTCCCCCTCAGCTACCCCACCCCTTCTCGCCCCCCACACTGGGTGCCACTCACTGGAGGAAACATCTGCAACAACTGTCGGACAAGTGCAGCTTCGCATGGAGGCAGAGGGGGAGGGAGGCAATCACAAGCACAGGAGGCATGCCCATAGCAGAGAAGCAGCCACACAGGGGGAAGGCAAGAGAGCGCATGTCGTAGAGCGGGATCTGGTTCACGGAGAGCCCCCCCATAAAGTGGGAGACGAGCGGAGACAGATGGAGGGGATACTGAAATCTTACCCTCTAGTGGACTCCACCCTCCTTCGCCCTCCACCCCCTCTCCCCCTTGATGAGAATCCAGCCAGACTGGCGAATGGGGCAGCATGGTTGGTATGGAGAGTCTGTCACCCTCATCGGTTAAACTGAAGAAGCGGGTGATGAAGGCTGCGTTGTCAGAAGAAGACCGCAGTAAACCGCCACCATAGCTGAAAATGATGGAAGCGACGTCGTTGTTGGCAAGGGTGAGGATATAATCCTCACCGACATTGGTGTTGTTAGAGTTGCCACCACCGTCATTGTTTGTGTCATCATCTCTGAAAGAAACGGCAGCGGCGTCATTATTGATAACGTGGCCGTTGACGAGAGTGCTGTCGTTACTGATGGTGTTGTTGTTGAAAACGACGCCGCTGTCCTTATTGATATCGTGTTTAATGGGAGTAACAGCAGCAGCGCAATCGTTGATAATGATGAAATCAATGTTGTTGTCCGTTGATATAGAGAGTGCGCCAGACTCATCAGATGAATCTACCATGCATGCTGGAGCAATATCCTCAATAGCAGATGATGTTGTAGCTGGAACAGTTGGGAGCTGAAGCCCTGAGCCCGATGGAGATGCTGACCATGATTGTTGAAGGAGAAAGTGCCCATCCGCCACCATGCTTGCTGACAGCTCGCTGCCCAAGCTCTTCACCAGCGAAGGCCTCTGAGCACACCCCAACTCATAGCACTTGCTCATAAGGACCGCCACCTGGCTCTTATCAGGAAGAGCTTCCGGCAGAAAAGCGAATTCCTCCTCCAGTTCCCCAAGCACCTCTGACATACCTTGCATGGTCGCTTTCACCCGTCCAACTAGTGAGATCGCCCCCCCATCAATCTCGGACGGAACCAGAGCTGGCCCGGAGAAAGAGGTCACCATCTCCTGGAGCCGGCGCCGGCCAGCAAGCAGCATGGAGACCTGCTGAAAAACAGCCGCCATGTCACCTCAGTTCCCCCTTGACCACTGAATCTTGACTTGGACCAAAAGTTACGACCTTGGCTTATGTCTGTGCGGATTTGAACTGACTTCATTGCACCTGAGAGAAGTTGGGCGAAGTACGCTTTCTATAGTCGTCCTGCCGTGGCTGGGTGAAGATGAAGTCCACCCAAGCGGAACACCTGTGATTAGTGCATTCATGGTAAGCATGTACTGCTGCCACTTGTACGAAGCGGGGTCCGTAATCGTTGTAGTGTTGCACATTTTCATTTGCACACAGTGTATCATGTCTGGCCTGTAGTAATTAGTACTCAGTCTAGGCATGTGCTGCTGCTGCTTCGATGAAGCAGCGTCTCTGTTACATTTTAACTTGTGTATGGTGTCCGCCTTACCACTTGCTCGGTTACTCGTGTGAAGAAATTTCTGTGCATGTGCCATGTATATTTTCATCTCTTTAGCCTTCAATACTTGGTGGATGTACAGGGTTTCTATTATTTAACTTTCTAAAAATTTAGTAAAAAATGAAATAAAAAAAACGATCATGGCCTGCATGCAGATATATGTTTGTCTCATAGCTGCGGCGCATCATGTGAGCACACACGAGATGCGGCACACGCCCAATAATGGGGGTCGAAAAAAAAATTTCGGGAGGCACGGCGTGTGGCGTCACACCCCGCCCCTCCCCTTGCAAAAATTGAAATACAGAAGGAGGGAAAAAATCAGGGCCCAGTATGACAACGGGCCCCAGAACTGTGTGTGTCCCTTTCTCCCTTTTGAAACGGTATTCACCAATTCGTGGTAGCTGAGGTAGATCCCAGGGCTCGATCCCTAGTTTCCCAACTTACCTGTGTACAAT